GGCTCTTATTAGTTATCATCATCAAAGGTATTCACCATTAAGGGCATGTTCTTGTTAGATTCCTTAATTGCTTAACCTATAAAACATAGTTCTACATCATTATCCAACAAATTAGAAGATGATTCAATACATGGTAATTTACCTTTGTGAAAAGCCTCTCATTTTTTAATGAAAATCACAAAAAAAAAATGTTTTTAGAGGCTAGAGAGATGACTAGGGGATTGTCTACTTAATTAGGAAAACTTTTTCAAAGTTGTCTAATTAATTAGATTATATGCCTAATCGATTAGATGACGCCTAATCGAGTATATAATGGATTATAATAATCTCTTAATGATTGGCAATGACTTTATATGTAAACCTTCCATTTTGGGCCACAATAATAATTACTTTCGCCAATTCAACACTTGAAGTAGAGCTATTATCACTTGAAGAATCACTTCCGCTCTCTTAAGCGATATAAGCTCTTCTAGACTTGCTAGATATCTTATCACAACATTTTTCTCTGTCTTTCTTGATTGTAGGATACTCTGGCTTATAGTGGTCCGGTTTGCCACAATTGTAGCATGTACTTCTAGACTTACCCTTCTTATTTTCATTTTTTGTGGAGGAATTCGATAGTATTATAGATTTACCATGATTCTTGTTGGAGTATTTATTTCCATACTTCCTCATGCATATATTATACCTTTTGATAAACAACCCAATATCTTCTTCATCAGAATCATCGTTATTTTTAGTTTTGTAATCACTTTGCTTATTACAAGAGGACCTTGAGCTTGAAATCCTCAGAGCAATAAACTTCTTCTCTACTTCCATGTATTTTTCTTTCTCCTTCTTCACCTTCTTTTCATACTTTTTTTCATGTTTTTCTAAGCAAGAGAGTTCTTGCTCATGCTCTGCCAATTTGTTGAACAAAGTCGTGAGATCAAGTACTTTAAGATCATTCGCCTCTTTGATAGCGGTGACCTTGGGTTGCCATTTCCTATTTAAAAATCTCAACACTTTTTTAGTATAAATCTCATTGGAAATAGGCTTACCTAGCGCATTCAATTGATTGATAAAATGTGTGAACCATTTTCGCATTTCCATACTGGTTTTGCCATGCTCCATACGAAATAGCTCAAACTCTTGATTTAATATGTTGATACTAGATTATTTAACATAATTAATATCCTCACGGGGAGCCTCTAATGCGTCCCATATAGCCTTGGCGGTTTCACAATGAGAAATGCAATAATACTCATTAACACCTAAAGCGGATGTGAGAATATTTTTTGCTTTCCAATCCGTGACCATAATTTCCAATCATTAATATCTCATTGTACTTCTAATTTAGGTAATGTAACACCCTCATCATTGGTCACTGTTATTTCATTCTGACCATTTTTGATAGCGTCCCATATACCTTTGTCAATGGAGTTGACATGAGTACGCATACAAGCTTTTCAATATCCATAATTTTTGCCGATGAAAATTGGTGCTCTATTGTACGCTCCCTTATGTTTGATAGCCATTATTCTAAAAATCAAAACTTAAGCACATAATTAATCGGAGCTCTGATACCACTTGTTAGACGATAGACTTTGATCTGGAGGAGGATGAATAAATCAAAAATTAAAAATCAAACTTTTGACAAAAATTGGTTTTCAAAAGTTTTATGGCACAACGAAAACAACTCGAATCGAATCGTCTAACCGGACCTACTATCAAAAAGCTCGAATATGCGTAAAGTTACACAATTGAATGATAATGAACATAAATTGTTCAACAACAATTAATTACAATACAATCAAATGTTAAGTTATATGCAAAGCTTATTTCCAATGATAAAAAAATACACAAAAACACAAAATGCAATTTATCGAACATTCTGTATGCGATCGATATTGTTTGGAAATTTACTTTGTTTTTTTAATCTTAAAAACAAATCACAATCAACCGGAATATGATTCTATCAATAAAACCTAATTAAAAAATATGATAAAATATTATTCTCAATCGAATTGGACAAACAACCAATGAATTCAATAAATCATTTAGAACAACAACAATATATATATATATATATATATATATATATATATATATATATATATATATATATATATATATATATATATATATATATATATATATATATATATATATATATATATATATATATATATATATATATATATATATATATATATATATATATATATATATATATATATATATATATATATATATATATATATATATATATATATATATATATATATATATATATATATATATATATATATATATAGAGAGAGAGAGAGAGAGAGAGAGAGAGAGAGAGAGAGAGAGAGAGAAAAGGATTTGTTTAGGAAATTCCCCAATCGGCCTCGCTAATGGTACGTCTATCCTCAATTAGAAATCGAATTGAGATACTTGTAATTAACCTTACTTTGCAAAAAGTGTATATACAAGAGATGAAGAACTATAATCCTACAAACCCTGTCGTTTGTTGTGAATTCTACCACCTCCAAAAAACCTTGATCAAATATTGATCAAGTCACCAACAATGTCGCTTCAATTCACTAATTCTTGCTACTTCCTTGCAAGGAACCACCTTTTCCTTAGGCTTTCACGTTGTCTAATTAATTCTAAACGCACACTTGTTGAACCTAAGATTTACCAACACGATTCACCGTCTCACGCTACTCCCTTGCAATGAACCACCTTGTCCCAAGGCTTTCACTTGATCCGATCTGAATTGTGTAATATTGTCCAAAACCTTCAAATCCTCAATGATCTTAAAGGAAAACCCCCGTTCGGTTTTTTATTTGAAACACTCAAAGGACTCAACTCAATATTCTCGGCACACCAACCTAATTGGACGTTATCAACCATAATCTAGATGGTCACCCAATCAAAAAATGATTTTGTGTAGTTTGATTGTATGTATACATAGAAGAGAGGTTGAAGATGATGAGTATGTTTTGAAATTCTGGTTTCATATAGGTTTTACACTAGAATCTTACTAGAAAAAGATGCATGTAACAATATATATATATATATATATATATATATATATATATATGTGTGTGTGTGTGTGTGTGTGTGTGTGTGTGTGTGTGTGTGTGTGTGTGTGTGTGTGTGTGTGTGTGTGTGTGTGTGTGTGTGTGTGTGTGTGTGTGTGTGTGTGTGTGTGTGTGTGTGTGTGTGTGTGTGTGTGTGTGTGTGTGTGTGTGTGTGTGTGTGTGTGTGTGTGTGTGTGTGTGTGTGTGTGTGTGTGTGTGTGTGTGTGTGTGTGTGTGTGTGTAATATATGAAGCAAATGGCATGCATGAGGAATTGAAAAGGAAAACAAAATTTTCAAAATTTGTAGTCTATAGGTCGACCTATGAAGGTTTCAGGCCGACATATAAAGGTCTAAAGTCAACCTATTTGTGACGATCTATAGGCAGTGGCTATATGCTTCATTATTGAGGCATGGGTGTCGACTTAAGTGGTCTATGTGTCGACCTATGTTGAAGAAAAAGCTTCTACAGGTCGATCTAAAGTTGTATGTGTCGGTCTATGCAGTTGTTTTTACACTAGAAACTCAATTTTTGATATATGGACCTTGCCTAGTTCATTTCCAAACACATTTATATGAACTCTTATGCTAAGATGATCAATGCACATTAAGAATTTGGTTGATAACGTCCAATGTACAAAAACACTAAAGTTCCTCCTAGTTTTGACATCATCCAAAACATAACTAAATGGAAAGATGCATTCACAAGTTTTAAAAAATACATCCTTAATAAAGTATTACGCATTTTGATATAAATGTTAGATTGTTTCATAACTCAACAATGAGAATTTTAGATTTTTTGTTAAGATTGTTAAAAATATAAAATTATATGATATTTTTTAAATTATCGAATTGTTTTACTAGAATTGCTGGTAACGTGTACGAGTATGAGTAGTTAGGTACCCATATGATACATGTACATGTATAAAAGTCGGTGTCCACGCAGGTATGAGCTCGGGTACAAGGATGTTTTCAAAACACTAATATGGAGATGGGTACTATAGTACCATATCCAAACTGTATTCATTGCTATCTCTAACTAGATCCGTTTTACCACCGTATATGTAAGGAAAACAATATGCAATATTTTTCATTATTCTAGCATCATTATCACTCTGAAAGTAGTTATTAAGGGTTCTCTTTAGTTCTGTTAAAGTGTTATCAACGTATATAACAACTCACTAGCTCATGTAAATATACATTCTCAGAATGATTGATTACACATTGAGCTAAGATTGAGAATGAAAAAAATTACATTTATTGATATTAACTAACTGAGTTCGAGGACGGGTTCAGAGTGAGGATTAATGTACAAATTACTCATCTTTTGAAATTAGAGAAAACTCAAATATAAATTTGAATTCAATTAAAATAGACTTTCCTCATCAAATTTAAAGCAAAGTCAGCCGGATATTCGCATGTAAGAATTTCATGGTCACGCTTAAATAAAAAGCACGTCAAAACAAATAACAAAAGCGTTTGTAAATATTAATATATTTTTTATTATAATTTATTATTTATTATCTTGTGTTTTTAAATATTACATATCTTATAATATTGTTAACTTATTCATTAATTAATTAAGATATTTAATAACTATCTTTATTATTTAAAATTTTATTTTATTCTCCTATATTATTTATTAGTTATGACATGTTAATTAACTAACTAAATAATTTTAGATATAATATATAAAAACAAGAAAACAGTATTCTTTTTGTCTTTTTGTAGGAAAGAAACGTAAGATAGTTTAAGAGTCATTTTGAAAAGTATGATATATAAATTATAAAAAAACTCAATATCTTTCAAAAAACAAAAAAACTCAATATTTTTGTAAATAAAATTTCATTCTTACCTGATTTATTATCTATACGACAACTTCATTTTCCATTTCCATCTTCATTGAACTTTGAACCCTACACACAAAAACCATAACCCAAGCGATAAACATGTCCGGTGGCCCTATTTCTCAGGATTGGGAACCCGTCGTCATCCGCGGGAACCCGTCGTCATCCGCAAGAAAGCTCCCAACGCCGCCGCCAAGAAGGATGAGAAAGCCGTTAACGCCGCTCGCCGTGCCGGCGCCGATATCGATACCGTTAAGAAATGTTAGTTTTACTATTTCCTAATTTCATTAAATAATATACGGATTTTGTTTCGTTTTTTATTCGTTATTCGATGCTAGGGTAAAAGTGTATAGTTTAATTGATTAATACACGGATCTCAACGTATTCTATTGTAATTGTTTCTGGCTATGATGATTTGTTGTTGAAGAAGCAGATTTAATTTGCGAAGTTTTTAGTTTTAGGGTTATGTGTAATTGTTTTTTCTCTTTATTTTTACTTTTTATGCTTTCTGATTTTGAAGGGCGATTGTTCAATTGTTGTGTTTACAGATAATGCTGCGACAAACAAAGCTGCATCTAGCAGCACTTCATTGAACACTAAGAGGCTGGATGAGGATACAGAGAATCTAGCTCGTGAGTATTGCGCTTTTAGATACACTAGTTTTTGTCTGTTTATTTTTGTAACAATTGATAGAACCTACCTCAGTATCAATTTCTGAAGGAGCAGTTATATGCATACCGCTGAGAATGATGGGGTGAATTAGATGGACAGTGTTGTCCTTCGACTTTAGTATTTTCAAACTTATAATTTGGTCTTGTTTTCTGACTCTTGCGACTGAAAAGTTGTTATCTACTCAGTGTTATCAATTTGTGGCGCCATGACCGCTATGGCGGATATACATGGCGGTTTTTGGGTTCGCCACAATGGTAAATATCGGTTGACATTGCAAGTTTTTCTGCCATAATCCTCTATAACGGCGCTGCGAAGAAGCCGGTATGGTGGGATTTTGTCTCTCCACCATGTACCGCCATCGACAACACTCTACTTCTTATGCAGCTTCTTTGTTGAATTATTGTATTAGGGCTCGAAATCAATATCTGGGCCAAGTTCCAGATCATGCAGAAAAAAGCTTCAAATATGGCTTTGTACACAGAAAATAAAGGGCAGGATTATAGTAGTTATATGTTATGACAATTATGTAGCCCTTGTTTATGAACTTTCATTTTTCCTTTTGAACACTTAGAACTGTTTTCTCAAAGGAGGCTTGTGCGGAGGTCCATCTACCAGATTTGTGTTGTGAACTCTGGAATTCAATGAAGTTTCTATTATATACCCCATCAGATTATATAATATTAAACTCATCTGTGACCTCTTTCTTGCTGTGTGTGTACTTGCGTTGAGTGTGTGAGTGATAACAGGAATTTGACATGGTCTCGTTCAATGTTATGGACAGTCAAGATTGATTTTACTTAAATCCAGTTTTGACTGTCCTTGTAAGATCTGAATAGTTAACATTAGTTCCTCTCACCTCTTTGTTTCACTTGATGCTTCTATAATTAAAATGTATCGGATTATTATCTTTTACTTATGTTTGATGAGATGTTGAACTGCCCGGGTCTTAGAATCATAAATTAGATGTATTGATCAAAATTTTCTCTTGGCTTCCTGAGCATAAAACATTGTTGAACCTGGTGTTCCGTTGATTTATTTGTTTTTTTACTGAATGTGCATGCAACATGCTTTGGAATTTTGATTCATGTAATGTGATAGCATATCATGCTTAATAGAAGAGGAATTATGGACACCTTTGTGTTTCTTATGCCAAAATTGAAGCTTTTGGTTCATTTTTTCTGCCAACCCGTTGACAATCACGTGACTGAATTTTGTATGCAGATGATCGTGTACCAACTGAACTGAAGAAGGCTATAATGCAAGCTAGGATGGACAAAAAGCTTACTCAGTCTCAGCTTGCTCAAGTATTATCTCCACCCAACATCAGTTTCTTATGTTCTTTATTAGTAGTTACACATTCATTATCTAAAACAAGCATGGTTACTTGCAGATCATCAATGAAAAGCCTCAAGTGATCCAAGAGTACGAGTCAGGGAAAGCCATTCCAAATCAGCAGATAATTGGCAAGTTGGAGAGAGCCCTTGGAGCTAAACTGCGTGGCAAGAAATGAGGAACCTATTTTCATGGTTGTTCGCTAGGTTTGCACGTCACTCTTGAGGTGTTGTCATGTTTGTCTTTGTTCACTGAGTGTGTATATGTAAGACAGATAAATGGTTTTGAGGACCTGTGGTTTTCACCTGTTCGAATAAGTAAAGTTGCATTTTCAGCTTGAACCCTCCTTTCCGTTGATTGTAAGATATGATTGCTTCATAGAGAAAGTGAGTGCTGTGTTTATCTTGGTTCATTGGGAAGGTTTGCAGGGAACCCACTTAAATGTAGAACACCAATGAATTCTGAATCTTGAAAGAGTGAAATTTGTAACTTGTTATAACTTTGCAGAGTGGTTGCCATCTTTAGTTGAGTTTTAACTTTCCATTTGTCAAAAATAAAGTGTTTTAATTAACACTCCATAAGCTACTTCCGTAATCATTCTTGGCATTTGATGGCTGTTGGAGGAAAAGAAGTGGCGGTGGAGATGACAAAAGCGCACGGTTCTCTGAATTTATCATTTAAACCTTTTATTATTTGTTCTTCCTCAAGTGATTTTATCAATAGCTTGAAGAACCAATGAGACAAAACAACACAAAATAGAGATACTAGTAGCTTTTTAATTCTTATAGCATTTGGTATGCTAGGAACATATTGAGCTTCTAAGGAGATTCATCAACTCGAGGGATCTATGAATTCAAACCTGCCTCTGAGATGAATAAACCCAATATTCAACTAACTACTTCAAAGAAAATAATCATATTAGAGGTTTGTAGAAGCCGAGACCGAGTGGGTGTTAGGGATTGCTGAATATTGATTTGATTCTTAGTGGCAGGTATTGTTATATAAACAGAAAATGATCAAAGCGATATCAATGAGAGTGTTTGTCTTATTACCAATTGTTCCCACAAAAGTGATTCCTGAGAAGAAGGGAATACATGTGCTTTAATCAAAACGTTTGTTTATAAAGACTTTTAAAATTATTGGACTAAATTGATGAAAGAGTGGTTGTTTGAGAATGAAATTGACCATTTATTAAAAACATTTGCAAGGGAGAAGGGTGTGAAATATCATCAGTTAATTGTTGAAATAGGGCAACAAACAACACAAATTACAAGACAAATTCAATATTATACAACAATTATAGTAGCATTGTAACATGAATTATGCCTCTATAGACATTAAACAGAATCAATATTCTTCAGGCACAGGAAGATCCTCCTTATCTGGTGCATCAACCCATTCCCCATCTTCCCTTCTCACCAAACCTTTATTCTTCTCCACCCACCACGAACCTGGCACATGACACTCTTCCTTCAAGTAATCACAAGACTTATTCACCAAAGCCACACTCCGCTTCACCTTCAACTCAAACTCACCCTCACTCCCATTCCAACCAGCCACCACATGCAACATAGCCTGCAAATTATGCCAATCACTCGGATTCTTCGAATCACTCAAACTCGTCGATTTCCTCGTATCAATCACCAACTCTACACCAGTATACTCATACCCCAATAACTTCCCTGGATAATGCGGTATAAGATCAATCACATTCCTCACGTGCAACACCTTCAAATTTGGAAACTTTTTGAACCTGTCATTGAATGCTTTGTTCCCAACTTGTGGGGAACCAAACACAAATGCCGCAACGGGAATGTCTGTTACACCATTCTCGACCAAATCAAAAGCACTTACAACTGATAAACTTGCTCCTAGACTGTGTCCCACTAATACCACACTTGGATTTTCATTCTTGTAAGTGTTCAACAAACTTTTTATCTTGGTTAGAATCTGTGTTCTCACGCTTGTTTTTGTGAATGGAGATTTTGGGTCGTCTGAGGTGTATATTGTCATCCAACCCTTCATTACTTTCGGCGTTCTTTCGTCATCTTCATTGTCACTGCTGCTGCTACCATCATCTGTCACATTACATTTATAAATAACACATTCTTTTAAGGGCGTTTAATATGGACTATCGCAGAGGGCATTAAATTTAACATGGTTAAATCTCGGTTAAATAAAACATCATAAAATATTTATCATAGTTAAACCATGACCATGACAAGATATAGTCCCTATTAATTTCAGCAGTTAAACTATACTATTCTACCTAGACCTCCGAAAATTTAAGACGAGCCAGAGTTATCTATATAGAAGATTGATTACCTTTATTCTTGTTTGGGAGGTTGAGTTGGCTGAGACTTTTAGCACTCAACAAGCCAGATGCAGACTCAGGAGCAGCACCAAACACGTTAATCCATTCAAGGTCCCTCGTGGTACCACGCCACACAATATATATTTCACGGCGACCCAATTCTCTACTCCGTTGATCAGAAGTAACAGCTATGTAACCGATCCAGTTAGACTCACGGTCCCAACTCTCACGTGATAGCGAGTGAAGAATGAAGGCTTCAGGAACAGATACACGTGCAGTAGCGTAAAGGAAAGAAACAACAGTGTAGTGCGTTGGGTTTTCAAGCATGACTTTGTCAAAGAACGAGGATTTTCCGTAACGGCTTGAACCGCAGTAGATGGAGTGTTGGTCGTTGTTGAAAGCATCATAGGTTGTTTGTATGAAGTCACCGCAACGGAGTATGAGGTTGCGGAGGTTGAGGTCTAAGGGGTTTAATAGTGTTTCCCAGTTGTTGCTTCCTAGGAGTTGGTTCCATGTGTCTTGGTTTGTTGTTGTTGGTGTTGTTGGTGTTGTTGATGATGATGTTGGTGGTGGTGTTTCTGTGTCTGTTGCCATGTTTATGGGACTTTTTTTGTGTGATAATCCCATGTTAAAGGGAGTGGAGTGGAGTGTGTGTGTATTTGAGGGAGTGGATATATTATATTGTGAGGAGTTGATGAGGAAAGAGAAGTTTGTGGTGAGATGAGCAAGAATCCAAGAAAGATTGAGATGAGATATTATCATCAATTATCAATGTGAAATGTGTTATCTTTTTTTTTTGCGGATGGAAATAAAAAGTAATGTGATGGTTGACCTATCCACCACCATTGGTTTAGTGATGTCTTGTCTGCCTATTTGAGATTAGTGTTTCATTTTAATTTTTTTTCATTTTATGTGGACTTTTTTAGTTTGTGATGATTGAGTTTAATTTGATTATGGCCAAAAACAAATTTTGAAATCAAACAATTCTTAGCAAATAAGATACTTTATAGATTTATACTCTAAAAAGTTGTCTATATCTATAATATAGAATTTTTCATTCTTCGATAACTACAATACTAATCCTTTATCTAATTGTTTTGAATAGATATTTTTTTGGATCAGTTTTGACCGAAACCCCGTTTGCTCTAATTTTTGAAGACCCATTACCTTGACTCTCTCACCATATAACAGATGATTGTCTTTGGAAAGTATATAGAGCATGATTTGAATAAACTAAATATTATTGTGATTGTTCATGAATATGTTACTTTCTTATTTTCAGTGACAAGATTGTGCCATCTGATGGTCTCCACTTTTACATTATGTATATTGAATTAAAAAATGACCCTTAAATGTTATTTTTATCAAAGGGCTTGATGGAATCCAAGGTCTGGTTCTTATGTAAATGCTGCTGAGATTGTGAAAAAAGTTATTACTTTTTTAGTTGTTAATGTTGTTGATGCCTTTTTTAGTTCTTATAATTTTAATATGAACAGACACTTGTGAGATTTTACTGCATTCATTTTAACTTAGCTTTTTGTTTGTACAATCCCCCTGATTAGCCTTTTCCTATAGATATGCCATGAGTTTGAAAGGTCCAACACCTACTTGACTGATCTCAAGGTTGTTGTCTTTTATGGTGGTGTCAACATTAAAGTTCACAAGGATCTATTGGAAAATGAATGCCCTCCGATTGTTGTTGGTACACCTGGAAGAATACTAGAATTTTGTTTTATTTCACTTTGCTTAATTTCTTTCATTTCTGCATAACAAGTAATGTCTTTCACTTTGGAGGGGTGTATTTCTCGGTATGTAACATGTTCACGTGGTTATCAGTTTTAACCCTCTCTTGCTTTTGATTGTGTCAAGTGCCCTATGAATTTTGAGGCATTGGAAGGGCTGGCGGCTATTTTGTGCATTGAGGTATGTATGATTTACTTTGTAGTGTATATTTAACTTAAGGATCAGATGCCATTTCTGATTGCATTGCATTTTAGTGGCATCTATAAACCCAACATTACTGTGTGTCCTGTTACACTCCTGAAACAGTGGAAAAGGGAAGCAAAAAAGTGGTATCATATGGGTGTATTTGTGACCATCTTTGAAGCATTGGTACTTTTAAAATGGTGAAGTACTGGTATTGGGTACACACTCTCATTGGATACTCGAATTGTATTTTAGTATTATTTTTTGTTTTTTCATTTTTTATAGTGGCGTTTTGGTATGAACCTAATAATTTAGTTCTCTACTTATACATTTTATAAAAAATTCTTATTTTTTATTAACTTACTCGTACCTTAACTTTTATTTAAATGTTTGTATCCCGTACGAGTACTCATACTGGATACCGTGCTCGTACTTATGCATCATAGGTGACCATTGTTTATCTTTTACTTTTAAATAGATAATGTACCTGTCAAACCGATTTATGATTATTGCACAAGTATTAATTGAACAAAAATGATAAATTAGTTGGACCAAAAGTCTCATAACTGATTTGAAATGGAATTGTTTGAATACGCACAAAACAAATCAAAATTGTTTGTGAAGCATGTAGTTGTTTCTAATAGTTACACCATTGCTACATTGTTTGAGCATGTAGTTTTCTAATAGTTACAATATTGTTATATGTAACTTTCGGTTGAATAAATTAGAATAACCTATTTTTTACTGTTTTTATTTTGTGTAAATATTTTAGATGATATTCTTGAGTTGTATTGATTTGTATGGAAATAAGCTATGAAGATATTAATTGATCCACAACACCATCTATAGAATACTGACTTGACTTCAATTTCCAAGTAGAAGAAAAAAACAAAGTTTATCAATATCTATCAAGATATTTCTCTTGCTTTTTCAAAACC